AAATTTCAATCAATTAGAAAAATATATTCAAAAGAGTATGTCAAAAGTATGTTGCTAATATTTATCTTTGCTTTGAATCCATCTTTGATAAAAAAGAGTGATAAGAATTTTCTTCCATCATTGCTTGTAATTAAGTAATGTTATGGAGAAAAACACATTTCCTTAATTAAAGTGATGAAACGAACTTTTGTAATTAGTTAAGACTCTTATACCTGATTACTTGCCATGTGTAAGGGGCTTGTCTATTAGGTTAATTTTGTAATTAGTTGAAATCAATAACCATCTAAGATTTTTTCCCATCATTAACATAAAGATTGTCGTTGCAATAATTTATTTAACTTTTTTTATTTATTGTTATTATAAAACACGGTCAATTAATTAAAAAACATATAACTTTTTAAAGTAATTATCATCAAGATCAATTATAGGAATCAAAAGTATATTTACGTATAAAACAAATATTCTTGCGACAAATAAGATTTTATGATTTAATAATATAATGTAAAAAAAATATTGTTGAGTAAGTCTTAATCAAATTAACTTGGTTTATATATTCGATTAGAATAATTTTTGCAATAAAGAAATTATAAGAAGTAACAAGAATTGTTAATGGGTGGCATAAAAAGAGATACAATGGAGCTATTTCCTTGTGGTGGCGGGAAAGCAAGTGATGGACAAGTGAGAATATGATTTTATTCTTTCTTTTCGCTGCATCGTGCATGTCATGAGAATATTATTAGATGTAAAGACTTTTAGTTTTCAAATAACAAGATTATTTCTTAATTTAAAATAAAATATTTTAATAAAAAAAATTGAAGTTGGCATCTGATTTAAAAGAGTATGCCCCGAAACAATTGTCTGATACGAAAGAAATAGATTTGATTGTTGAATTTGGGATTATATTATTTATGGTAGAATATGATCTTAAGGTAGGGCCAAAGACTTCTATGCAAGAAATTTCTTGAAATGTACAAATTTCGTTACTTTCCGTGACAAATACTTGTTTTAAGCTCCATTGAATAATGTTCAATTAGTTGCGTATATGAACAAGCGTCCATTGCTTAATTATCTTCATTAACAAACAGAAAAAGAGAAAACACGTAATGTGCTTTTTTTTTTTCTTTCCTTAAAATAAAATAAAATGAGGTGGTTGGTTCCTTAATGGTTAAGATGTTGTGGGATGTTTTGAAATACTCGATGCCCTCCATTGTTTTCTTCGTATTAGGAAAAAAATAAAAATTTCATGATGTAGATAGTACTTTTTTATTTTTATAAGAAACTATATTAAAAATTGAATCTAAAATCTCATATAATTTACCCAATTACTCACTACCTATAATAGGTTAAGTAGGGACTAAATAAGATAATAACGAAATAATTATACAGAAAAAAAAAAAGCGATATTGAAGTAACAGTAGGGAGTAATTTTTGTTTTATAATTACGCATTAAATTTTGAATCTAAGAATGGTCTGTTATCTATTTTTCAATTAAAAAAACTATGAAGTGACATGTATATACTAAATTCGCTTAATCTTTATAAGCGTTTAAAACATGTTAATATGTTATATTATCTTCTTTAATTGGGTTTACTATCGACATGATGCAATATATATAGTTGATATAATTATGTTTTTTAACCATGTGATTAAAGGTGCAATTTTCATATCTATATGTTGACGAGAAGATGTTTTGAATTTTATTATGTTTTAATAATAAGTATTAAATTGATTAGACATGCTTCACATAAAATGTGTATTCAAAGATTTGCTTTAAGTTCAGCTTCTTTTTTATTTTTTTTTTTAAATTTATTACATAATCTATTTTGTCATATACAATATATTTAAGGTAAAATATAATCTCCCAAAAAATAATGAAGAAAGACAAAAAAAAAATAAAAAAGAATGAGAAAAAATACCAATAAAACAAATTATGATCGTGATTTTTTATTTATATCTTGACTTATACTCGTAATCGTCTCAATACACATCTGAAAAGAACTAATATCAAAACCAATCATACCCATGATGCAATTCAACTATCACGGATTTCAAATTTTGAATTTCTTATCTTATCTTATTATTAGAATTTTGTTTTGAGTTTAAATTTTAAATTTAAGCTTTAATTTTTAGAAAATGTCAATCTCTTAAATGAATCTTTATATTTTGAGTGATTAGTTGACTTTTGATTGGATGAAACTCTAAATTACATAAAGAAAAATCTTCTTTAATTTATTTATATGTAACATTAAAAATACAACAAAAGAATTTATATGCATCAACAATATATATAAATAATTCTCACACTATTTTTAATTATAAATTATCTTGTATGGTAAATTTATTAATTTTAATACCTTAAAATCATATTTAACGTGATTCTGATTGATTGTAATAGTGTATTTTTTTTTTGGAACAATGATTATGTATAGACATTAATTAAACTGGCAACATAATATCCAATAAATTATTTTTGAAATAAAAACTTTGAAAAGTATAACATTTGAGATTAAAATATTTTAAACCAGTGAATTTCTGAATTCATCTCTATCTTACGTCATGTATCTTCATTTTTTCCGGAGATCAAAGTGAATTGAGAATTGAATTCATTTGATAAGAATAAACTCATCACGAGTTTAATTTCTAAATTATTTAGAATAACTTATTATGTATGATGATTGTGTAAGCATAATACCACGTGTCTTGCTTTTAGGAAGGTATAAGTGCCATATGCTAAAGGTGCCATTTAGAAAAAAACGAGTCTAAACCCTATGAATATATATATTATATTGCACTAAATTCATGGGTAAGTAAATGAGTGCTGGCGTAGAACTGCATGGAGTAACAGTGACCAAGTCTTCTGTTTGAGAGCATTGCAAATGCTAAGCTATGTGAAATCTTGAGAAACAGATGAATTAATGCCACATGGACCAACAAGAGTTTAGAAATATTGTCAAGTTTCTGAGTTTATATTAAGATTGCTTATTGCTTTAATCACTTGAGGTTGGCCAACCACTCACCATCTCAAAGTGATTGATGACATTTCACATAACATTATGTAGCCTGCTTCTACTTTTATTAATTAATAATTATAATATATTTTTTTCATAATTATGGGCTAACATAGCTTGAACAAATTTTGTAAATGAAGGTTGATGATCGGAAAATGTGAGTGCATAGATCGTGGTTACAAGTAAAATGTTTTCCATATTAGGATGCGTGCAAGTATTGTATTATGATAGTTAATTTTAGTCAGATGCGGAGGCAATTGAACTTTCATCTCTTAACATGTTCAATTCAAAACATGGAGGCACGTTCTATTTGACTTGTTTATGCTTTCATTGGAAGTTGACAATGTTGCATTTGCAAACAATGGTTAATCAACTGATACAGAACCAATTGTGACCAAATGGGCTTAATTTAACGTTGACTAAGAACCATTTCCTTCGGGAAACATGTTCTTTTTAGGTTCGTAGCTGGCATTTAGATTACAATAGTTTGACAAAAAAAAAAAAGATTTCAAGTTGAAGCACCAAAATCCAAACAAAGATGATCATCTATGGGCCAAAAGTCCAACCAATTTCACTAAAAAAATCATCGGCCTTTTATTAGATATATGTCCAATTTTCTTTAAAGCTCATCATATATACACCTTTTTTCTTTAATTTGTTTTATAAGTACACTTTTTTTTAAAATAAAATTAATTAAAATTTTAAAAGTTTTAATATTTTTAATTTTACATTCTAACATTTAATTTAACATTTTTTTCTTCTTTTTCACACATTTCACTTTTTCCTCTTTTTAGTTTTCACAAGTACCTCCTTACCTTTCCTTTACTTTCCATCTATTTTAATAGGTATTTTTAATTCTTTTGGTTTTATATTATTCTCTTCCTCCCTCCTCTTTTAATTTTCACACTATTATTCTCTCCCATCTTTTAGTTTTCATACGTACCCGAGACGTAGAACTAGTAAAATTAGTGTTTCGAATTTTTTTTTATAACACTAGATTTAATGTAAAAAAATTTGAAGGTGTGAAAGGGAAAGAAGAGTTAGAAGAAAAAAATATGCATTTAACTCGACAAACGATATTAAGGAAATCACACATATTCATAATGTCATCGCACACTAGTTCTATGGTCCAAGTACATGTGAAAAAGTGAAAAAGATGAGGATAGAAGAGAATAATAATGTGAAGACCGAAAAAACTAAAACTATTTATTGAAATACGTGAAAAATTAAGAGAAGACAAATGAGTACATGTAAAAACTAAAAAAGAGAAGAAAGGAAGTCTGTGAAAAAAAAAGAAGAAAGTAATATATTAAAAGTTGGAGGTGTAAATTTAAAAAATTAAAGAATAAAAAAAGATTAAAGATATTTTATGAATTTTATTTTAAAAAAAATAAAGGAGATGTATTTATAAAATAAAAAAAAAGGAGGTGTATATATATATATGATGGGCCTTCCTTTAAAGTAAGCCCATGATAGGCAGGGCCTAGACTTCATATTTTTGGTTAGTAAATCTAAATCTCATCTCCATATGCCCCAACACTTACTTTTGTTTCCGTAATGAAGGATCCTAAAACCATTTATCAAAACCCCTCAAATTTATAAGGGTACGTAGAATTTCTCTATAGTTTATGTAAAAGAAAAATTCAACCCATAAATCAGTATAACAAATACAAGTAACCATTTGAACTGTGTAGAATTGTTAGTTATACTTCCTCTACCCTTGAAAATGTTCGTTTTATTTTTCCTTTTTTGTCAAATCACGTTTGTTTCAATTTTCGATTATCAACTCCCTCTAATTAATACTTGCAACCTCCAGGCAATTCGTAACCTCATAAATATATGGAGTTTGATCTAGATTCTAGATATATGTTTCTAGTTCAATTTAATGCTAATCAATGACTCCACTTGTCCCATTAACTTGTTTACATAAACCAATGTATTGAAAAGCTCATTAATATTTGACAACAAACTTGTAAACACAAGTAGTTGAGAATGGAAATCACAATTACATCAAGAGAAACAATCAAACCACTGTTTCCCACGCCAGATGAACACAAATTCTTCCAACTCTCTCTATTTGATCAGCTTCAACTTACCACCTATTTGCCAATGGTTTTGTTTTACCCCAACAAGGAAGGCCTCATGGAACCTCCTCATATATGTGCTCAATTGAAACAATCACTCTCTGAGACACTATCCATTTTCTACCCTGTGGCAGGCAGAAGAAAGGACCAAACCTTTATCACATGCAATGACGAGGGTGCTGTTTTCTTGGAAGCCAAGGTGAACCATGACATGGTTGAGTTCCTCACACCACCTAGGCTAGAATTTCTAAACAAATTGCTCCCATGTGAGCCTAATAAGATGCACTCAGATGGAGAAGCTTTACCCCAAGTACTTGTACAAGTGAACGTGTTCAAATGTGGTGGAATAGCTTTAGGTACGTGCAATCTTCATACTCTTCTTGATGGTTGCTCTGGCAGCCTCTTCCAAACTTCTTGGGCTGCTATATGCCGTGGCAATAAGGAGCAAGTGTCATCTCCTGATTTCACTTCTGGCTCTTCTTTCTTTCCACCACTGAATCATTTGAGTTTGCATGATCAAAACAATGAGGGTTCAAGTGCACAAAAGAAGTGCACCACAAGAAGGTTTGTGTTTGATGCAGAATCCATCAACACTCTAAGAGATGATGGTAATGAAACCTCAAAACCTCTAACCAGATATGAAGCACTGGCTGCTTTCATTTGGAAACACATGACACTTGCATGCAAGATGGAATGTGAGGATAATAGCACAAGGCCAACACTTGCTATCCATGTTGTGGACATGAGAAGGAGAATTGGTGAACCTTTCTCTAAATACACAATCGGTAACATTTTGTGGACTGTAATGGTATATTGTGAAACACTCAATGCAGACACTAGTGTTAGATATTTGGTTAGCATTGCCAGAGAGAAATTTGGAAAGCTTTCAAAGGAATTGTTTTTAAGAGTGAAAAGTGACCCCAATATCTTGGGGAGCACTCAGTGTGTGGATTTGCCTCAAGGAATAGAAACAAGAAGTCCAATTCCCATTGTGTTGACAAGTTGGTGCGGTTTGAATTTCAGTGAGCTAGATTTTGGTTGGGGGAAGCCTCTGTGGATTGGTGTTAGAGGAGGTGATCAGGAATGTCTCCCTAATGTAGCTGTTATCATGGAAACAGATGCAGGCATGGAAGCTTGGTTGACAATGGAAATGCAACATATACATAATTTGGAAAAAGACATGGAGTTTCTCAGATTAGCTTTGCCTAATCCTAGTGTTTCAAACATATCGTTTTGACATCTAAAATTACAAATCATTTGTCAATCCATTCTTAATGGAGAAATTGTTAAGTAAAACCACTAAATATCCATCATCTCAATTAATCACTATATCACATATATTTATGTTTTCTATCTACCATGTTTATCTAATTCAATGGAGTAAAAATACTAGTTTGTTAGAGAAACATGGTAACAACTTACATGACAAACCAACTAGGAGCACAGCTGAGATAATAAATTCAATGAAATACTGAAAATTGAAATGAACTATAGTCTCTCCATACACAATCAGTATTAGGAATCTGAGCTACTCAAAGACCATTTTTGCTTTCTTCTTAGTTTCTTCAGGTTTATAATTTTTCAAATTTGTATTTTCACGGTCATCTGTAACTGTAATCACATATACCTGAATGAACCTTCTTGCATCATATTTATATAATCTCCCAACGTACGTAAGAAATATTAATTCTATCTGAAATATATTAGCAATACATTTTGAAAATAGGGTTTAGGGTACAACAGCGGCCATTGTGTGACTATTCTGGAAGCCAAATTCAAGGTTTGAAAATATTTCAACTATTTTTGTTTTCTGGCCTTTATTTTTGTTGTTTTTTCTTTTTCACTTATTGGGTACACTAAACTTGTTTGCATGGTTTGAGAATGAAATGTGTCTTAAGAGCATAAATCTTTGACCTTTTTGAAGAACTTTTAAATGATTATTCTATTTATTAAATTAGATTTACTTTTCAACCATCTTCATATCTTCACATATACTCTAACTTGAAATGTTTGTCTTCGTTTAAAATATTAATAATATGGTACATGCACATGTCATGATGTCTTTCTTGAAGCTATCATCTTTCTATCTCTAAATGACTTGTGTATTATATCTTTGACAAAATTTGAGCTACAATATTCAACTTAATTATTCTATTGATATTTTAGTGAGATCATTTTATCCTCTTTTAAGTTACTGCAATGTTTATTTTAATTGCCTTTAATATATTATTATTTTTTAAAAAATATATATATACTTACCTTCTAGCCAACCACCACAATCGCATTCTTTGAAGCATTACTAATTAATTATGCTTGTATGAGAAATGTGTCTTCCTTCAAATTAATTGTTTTTTCTTTAAATTTTTCTTTTTTAGTGTATCTTTCTCTTTCATCGTGTGTAATATTTTTTCGAACCAACTTAAGAGAAAAATGATAGAAAACGAGAATTAGAGAACAAATCATGCATGTTTGGCCCAATTTTATTAATTTGCTTTTGTTACTTAAAAACTACTTTAAAATTAAAGCTCTAAATAAAACTTTAACATATAGAAGCCATTTCCAAATTCTTTTTTTTTTCTTTTAAGCTAAAAGTAATTTGGTGGGAGAATTTTAAAACTTTAAATTTATTTAAATTAATTGCCCCACTCAATGAAATGATATATTGATAAATGTAACAAATTAAGGAGATTTTGAGAATTAACATTTGCAACGATAAAAAGAGATTTTATGTTATAATTTATCAACGTAACACTTGTAATTTCGTTTTATCATCACAAATATTAACCTTCAAAAGAACCATATGAAAAAGGTAATATTTACTTTGCAAACATGAGCAAAATAAGAAATCCCTGAAGATATATTTTTTTATAAAAAAAAATGAGATCATCTACAATTTTTTAGTCATTTATTCAAAACATAAACTCAAATCTTACAATTATAAATAATATTCGTATGCACTTTGAATATAAGATTTGGTTACTGGCGGATGCCGTGGAAGTAATCTTTTCAAACTTGGAATTCCAATATATCCTCTTAATAAGAATTATTGTCCACTAAATCACATAACATGCAATATTCTATAAGAGACTAATACGATTTTTAATATATTTAATTTCTAACAATATATGAAAAAGATCTAGAAATTTATATTATTAAGTAAAAAAATATCACATATGCATTAATGAGTACAACAAGATCTTATCAACCAAAGAAATGTAAGTATATACTCTTGCCCTCAATGCAACTAGGCACTACCAATGTTAAAAGGAAGAAGGAAAAAAAGTCTTTTAACGAGAAAATTTTGCTCGACTGAATTATAAGTTAAAAAAACCACAATAATTAAAAACATATAGCTAATATCATTTAATTTTATTAATCTGATTAAAACTTTTTTTTTTACAAAGTACCTTTCATTGAAATTTATTGGTATCAATAACTAAAAGGAATTATAAAAACAAAATTCAATTAAATGTAAGCTATTTTGGGGTGACACCATTAAATAAGATGAAACTATTAAAATTTATTTATATTTTAATTCATTATTATTATTATTATTTTACTTGTACTTCAGTTCCGGAAAGTACAAATATTGACAATGCTTGGAAGAGAAATTATTGACAAATTATTTAACCACTTCTAGAGTCCCGACCATTCTGAATGGCCTCCAAACAACTCTTGACAAAGAGTTCACCTTTGAAAAAAAAAATAACATGAATCTTTTTAGAAATTCTTTCCAAATAATAGAAACTAAAAAATACTGCTATTAAAAAAAAAACACGTTTTCTTGCCGTCATAAATAGGCGTACTCCACAACTTCCTACCAACTACAAAGCAACCATTTATTAAAATGAGGGTTGGTGAAGTTTGTGGTGTTGGTGGTGACATCACTAGTGGATAAACTTGAAAACAATACGCACCACGTCATTATTCTTCAACTCTGTGATAATATATGGTTTGTTATTTGAAAGCTAAATATGCTATTATTGATTCTGCATGAAAATCTAGTTGTTCGGAATTAATGTAGACGATAGCTAATTAATTCTTGCTACACAATATATCTTGGAGTTTTCTATCAAGTCAACACAACTTATACATAATAATGCAAATTAAAGACTTGAAGAAACAAATTCGCTTTCATTAAAAAGAAAATCGTGTCATGCTTTCTTTTTTCTTTAATAATAACGAGTGGATCATAGTAGAGCTAGCTCTGTGTTCTAGCCGTTTTAACACTTAACAGAAATATATATATGTGGAACCGCATCTATATGTACTTATTTATTTTTAGTAGTGATTAGTGGATGAGTGGATCAAACATAAGGGTTAAGGGTTGGTGGCATTTTGATTATAAAACCTACGCAAGTTGTCCATGTATCAAATTAAGAACAATAAGTGATAGTGATTTAGCTAAAATTTAAAAAGTGTTACAGGAGAACAAATCCAAAATAATTTCCATCATCCATGTACGGCCATAAGACTACCAAATCATCAAATTGCTGTTGGAAACTTTTAATTTAGAAACAGTCCGGGACTAGGAAACAAAGTTTAGGCTTCAAAATATGGAGCTTGGGAATAACTTGCACCTGAAATTTGATGCTATTTTTTTTTGTTGATAAAATTTGTTAATGCTTTTCTGTGGTTATATCTTTTCCTTACTAAATTTATATTATTTTGTTGTAAGGAATTTTTTTTGGAAACAAGAGCAGAGGGAGTGCTCTAATTAACTAAGGATGGCAATTGATGAGAATGAGTAGTTGTTTCATGTTATTCATCTTATTTAGTAAGTATCTATGATTTTTTTATATATATATTTATAGGTATCCATGAGTGTATGTAAATATTTGATAATATATAGAGTTTTAAATAAAAAGGTTAGAAATAAAAGAAATTAAAATAAATAATTTTAAAACATATATTTATATTAAAAAATAATTTTATAACATATATTTAATATTTTTAAAATATAAATAATTATAATACATTATATTTAGTGTATAAATAAATTAAACTAAATTAATTTTTATATAATTAAAAATATATTTAATATTTTAAAAGTGCAAATACCTACAAATACAAGTATTTTAATATTCATCATTGTTATATTATTAAACAAATATTTATTTAATTATTCATTTAAAGCAAGTTTTATCTCCCATATGGGTGTGAATATAATTTTTTTCCTTCCCTACCTCTAACCAAATACACAAAATGTATCGGATCCTAACAAACTCTCTTAATGAACCGATTTTGAAAAAATACTATTGAATCTAATCACATCAAGGTAATTCTAAAGATCTGCACCGTTATCATTCAACATGATCTCAAAACAAGTTCCAATAATAATCTATCTCTATTTTGCTCACATACCAAATATGATCATTGTAGTCCAATTAAGTGGAAATATGAAAGGGTAAATTAGTATTAAAAAAATCAACATAATCAATATAGAGGTAAAAGCAACAATATATACTATCAACATAAATAATTCAACACAATATCAACTTATAATTTTTCAGCACAATACAACATGTTTTTCAACTTGTACAATACAATAACAACATCTCAATGCGCAACTCATTACAATTTGGCATAACAGCATGTAAAACTTAATAACAATCAACAACATAAAACTTAATAAAAATCAACAACAACTAATAAAATGTATAGTGTTACACTCGTTATGAGCACTACGAGTATTTGATTATTATGCCTTTTGGTGTGATTAATGCACTTGGAGTCTTCATGGATAACATGAATAGGATCTTCCCCCCTACCGAGATATATTTCTAGTAGTATTTATAAATTACATCCTGGTGTGTTCTAAGACTAGGGAGAAACATGTTAAACACATTAGAGTGGTATTTCAAACCCTTAAAGAATATAGACAACCCTTTGCCAAACTATCTAAGTGTAAATTTTGGTTGAATATATAAGGTCAGTTTTTTAGGGCAAGTTATTTTTTAGGACAGGTATAACCATAAATCCTATTAAAATAGAGTTCATAATTGAATGGAAAGCAATTATATTAATTTTTGAAATTAAAAGTTTCTTAATTTTAATTAGTCACTATAGAAGGTTTGTAGAGAACTTCTTAAGATTATCTCTATAATTGACTTAATTAATTAATAACTCAATTTATTGTTATTTTTTTAAGTCTTAGGAACTAACATTAAAGTAATACACACTTTACGAACTAAATTTATAGTATATTTACCGATTAAAAAAAGGTAATTTATTTCG